AAGCAACTGGTGATGGTGAATATAAATGGAAGAAGCTCTGTGAAATATTGAATGCACTCAGAAGGTCCACTACTCTCTCCATTAAATTATAGATTGCATTTAGATTGCAAGGACAATTTCCGGTCACAACCGTCTTCATCAGACATCGTTGAGGAAAGCAAACCCATTTGAAAAGATAACCATGCTTTTATATGTACCTAATTTCAACATGCAAATGGTGTACAGAATTCAATATTGTCCAGGCTTCGCTTTGCGCCTATCTTTTCATGCAGGTTGACATTTATTGTCATGAGTCTTGCCCCGGAACTGAGCAGTGTCTACTAGATGGGCCAGCTGCAAAGTCAAAATTGGCTATATATCGTAAAAGTCATGAAAACAAAATGTTTCTTTTTGGTCTTAATTTAAGATTAGTGTTAGGCATAAGGTTAGCACTGTGGTTAAGGTTAGAATTAAGGTTAGGGTTCGGTTTAAAATCAGATTTGATGACTTTGTGGCTGTTCCGGCTAGTGACTATCCTGCAGAGCTGCCTCCAGAACATGAGTCATGCCAATAAATCTAAACTAATGAAAGGGTTATACACTGCTGCTTAATCACCGGTCAATCACGGCTCATAATGAGCCACAAAATCACTCGAAGAACTCAGATCAAACAATGATTTAATTGATGTCAACCCGCCTGTCAACCCGCCTCTACAGCTTTAAAGGCCCAGTGCAGTCAAAAATGTGATTTTCCTGTGTTTTCTATACACCACATGACCAAAAGTATGTGGACACCTGTTCGTCAAACATCTAATTCCAAAATCATGGTCATTAATATGGAGTTGGTCCCCCTTTTGCTGCTATATCAGCCTCCACTCTTCGGGGAAGGCTTTCCACTAGATATTGGAACATTGCGAGGACTTGCTTCCATTCAGTCACAAGTGCATTAGTGAGGTCGGGCACTGATGTTGGGCGTTTAGGCCTGGCTCGCAGTCTGTATTCGATGGGGTTGAGGTCAGGGCTCTGTGCAGGCCAGTCAATTTCTGATTTTGAGTACAAACAAGTCATATCTGGTATAAATGGAATCAAAATATTTTCTTCTCTCTCTTGCTCCTGTTATCCACTCTGCAGAAAGGTTGTATGAACATGTTTCTCTTGTAGGCTGCTCGGCCTTTGGCATGAGTCAGTCTGTTATGTCCATGCTTTGCTTTGTAACTCTAAGATCTTCATGCTTAGAATAATGCTTTGTAATGCTTGTTAATGCTTTGTAACTGAAGCGTTATGCCTTGTGATTTCACTCATTTTACAACGTTATTAAATATTTGCCTTTGATATAGACAATTCTTATTCCTTTCTTCCCCTTTCTACTACTGGAGCTCAGCTATAGTATTTTGCATATTTGAATCATCTTTATGGAGTCAGATATTCACTTTAATATACTTTAATCATATTAAATACATAGTCTTATTATGGGTTGCATGTGAGATATACTGTATATAATAAATATTACCCCACTACAACCACAACAAAATACCTTTCCCCAGTGGTTACACCATGTAGTCATTATCTGTTCATGTTGGATTTATAAAATGAATAAATGTAAGTGTGTCAGTAGCCTTTCTTTGGACATTTCCTGTAAAATGGAAATTGAGTTTTTGTATGGCAGCCTCAAGACTCACTTTTGCTGTAGTCTGAAAGGGAAGCTAAGCCACCGTAGTAAAAACACTGCTCTTAATGAAACAGCCACTAATGCACATTGCCATTGCAAAAGGAAAGAGCAAATTGGCCATTTAATTGAATGAGGTAAATCACTTTCAACTCATGAGCAAGAAATCCATTAAAGGTCCCTCCGAATAGAGCCACAATCATTAGCCCAGGCTTATTTGTGCAGCTTCTCTTCTCTCTCACATTAAGTAAATGTCCATTATGGCTTCTGGGTTGAGGAACTCCCTGTCCTGAATTCTTGTTTATGTAGATCACATTCTCCCTAGGCAAATAAACCTAGTCCATTCTGTATGGCATAGCATTGTAACTAGTGGGCTGTTGTGTGTGTCGATAACATGGTATCTTGATTCTTGTGACAATGTTTAAGGTTTCAGATGATTAACTATTCGATCTGTGACTCTCAAATTGTGTCATGGGTAAATAAATGCATGCTGGTATTTGGGAGGATATATTCTGAAAAAATACAAAGTACTACCACTGGTTGTATAGGCTATTACATAAAGCTACCTAAATGCTGTGGCGTTTGATGTACATTGTTGTTATGTACATTAACATGACATGCTTAACATTAGTCAGGTCATGATTCTTCCTGTTACGTAATATCATGACATACAGTCTGGGTTGGATGCAGTCTCCAACACATACCTAGTTATTCATGTGACCCAGGCACCAGTGGGAATATAATGGGCTAATAACTCATGCACTAACAGTACAGAGGTTCTTAGTATTTTCATTATGGGCACCCAGATATATATTTTATTTCAAGTGAAATTGATCAAATGTTCAATAGGGGTCCCTGGGGGAAAAAAGGTTGGGAACCCCTGCATTAACCAATACCATTCTAATTCACTACAGTAATTTTATAGATGTAAAACGTAACAGGTTCCAATTGACAAAAGTGAAATCAATACCGGGACCCTTCTCTCTCCTAACTGTATTCTGTCTTCCACTCTCCCCATCTCTTCTTCCTCCCCCCTCATCACTTCCTGTTTTGCTTTATCCATCTCTTTCACTCCCCTTCCCCTCAGCTTCCCTAAAGACATTCATAATGAGCTGTACAGTAAACAGCTGGGGGTGAGGAGTGGGTGGGAAGTAGGTGTGGGAGGTGGAAGAGAGGGTGATTTCCCAGAATCATCAACCGTCAATACCTAGGCTGTCACAATTCATGGCCCCTGTCCAATGCCCAAGCACTGATAATCACCCATGCCTGGAAATTCACTTGTCAGCCTACGCATAGGCATTGTGGTTTACGGAAAGCACAGATATGCAGAACTGATAAATGGCCTGCTGCCATATGAGCTGAGTGGACATAAATATAATTGTGGGAGGACAGGTGGATGTATCAAACATGGATGCTGAGCAACAAATGAGCAACAAAGTAATCAGGGAAGTTGTGCTTATAACTTATTTGGTTATTTCCTGACAGTATTTTGTGCACCATCAAAGATGTGAAAACAGTGTTGCCTACAGGATTATTGGATGTTATGGTGGATGGGAATGTTAAAAAAGAAAAGACGTTCAGGTGAACGTTAGGCTATTGAATAGCGTATTCATATTGATGTTCTATTTACTGCAGTTTTGCTACTATAGTGTTGTAGGGGGGACATACATAACGGTGGAAGGATAGGGGGTTGTATCAAACATGCAGAGGGCCTAGTAGCCTATGCATCATTAGTGGATGATGATGAGGAACAGAGTAATCAGGGAGGTTATTAGACAGTTTCAATGGAAAACAAAATACATTTCCAAAGAAATTACAAACGTTTAAATTCTCATTTCTCTGTTCCTAAATAAATGGAAATCATTCCTGTTTTGCGTGAAGGAGTTTCTCATCTGCCTTAGCAACTCAGTGAGCCAGAAAAATAAAGACAAAAAAGGATAAAACAGTTGTTCACAACATCACCTTTTTAATATTCTGTGCTGACAGAATGTCTTGCTATAATATTAGAGAACTGTAAAAATACAACAGTGACTAGTAATGCTTACAGGCTCCTTCTCCTTTCCTCTGCCCCCCTCTCAGTGCTCTCCAGAGTCCCTGGAAGCAGCCGGTTCCTCCAGCCTTCTTCCTCCCACCTGTAGCAGTGGAGAGGCTGGTGGAGGACAGTTGGTGTGTGGAGCAGGCTACAGGACTCCGCTAGAAGGAGCATAGTGTTCCTGGTGGTCAGCACCTCATCACTGATCAGTGTGCCATTCTGAGATCAATGGCAGCTCTCTGGGGGAGATAGAGGGAACCCCAGATGTTTTCTCTGTGTTGGAGAGGTTAAGCTCCTCTAAAATCATTTGAATATCTGCCTTATCAAGGACCTGGCCAATGATCTGGTTGGCCAGACAGATGATGGAGTGTTGATGCTGCTTATGGAAGTGAAGCTTCCACTAAGTGATGAGGACAAGAAGGACAGGGAGCTGTGGCTGTTGTATGCAGCATCGGCCTACTCATCACACCTAGGGATGTCCATGGGTTCCTTCTTGTCAAGGTCATCAAGGTTAAAAAAAAAACTCTCAGGAGAGATCCAGTCATTTAAATATAATTCAGATAGCCCTCTCTGTCATACAGAATTAAACTTTTATCCATTTAGTTCGATTACACAGTTTAGTGATATAGGCCTACATTCAAGCAAAATTGGAGAGAAAAAAATCGAAGGGGCACTTCAGAAGAATTACATGCAAAGGTGTAGGCTCCTTTACAATAAAAATGCATTAGGCCCACTGATTGATCATTTAATAGCCAAAATTGTGCAAAGTCATTTGATCATAAAATAAAATATATTTAGCAAACCACATTTGTTCTACATTTCTATTGTTCTACCTTTGGAGTGCCAACCAATTGTGGTTGGGCTGGAACAAAAACCTGCATATTATCTCCAGTGTGTAGCTATACTGCCGTTTTGCAGAGGGATTGTCATCTCTCTTGGAGACATAGCATAGGCCTATTGTTTTTTTGTATGTTTGTGAACACATTTTCTCTAGAACAAGGCAAAACAGATGTATGTTATAGAACAAGACTGTAAAGAGATAGAAATATGCAGATTATAAATATGCTGAGCAAGCGGATTATCTGCGTTTGTTGATATTGCTGAAACCCGGTGGTGAAGGAGGAACGTCAAATTCAAATCGAGAAAATAATCTGTACCTGCTCAAATTGAAATAAAGCATCGTTCAGAAACATATACATACATGTTATTCCTTTGAAATTATGATTGGAATTTTCAAAACCAAACGAATGGACCACTGTCTACCCGGTTTTACTCGGTGAGGTATGCCTCCACAATCGCAGCGATTGGTCAGTATGACAAATGTATGGGCGGGGTCATTTGCGTCCAATGGCAATACGAGTCTTTCATTGGTTAATCCTTTAAAGGACCCTTCTCTCATTGGTCAAAATATGTTGCGCTGCCATTGGTTTATATTACACACGCCGACCGTTTTGAAAACTGCATTTTACTTCAGAAAGCACGCAAACGAGATCGCAAGGCAATAGTCTTTGCCCTAGTTACATTTTTCTTCAAAGAGGAAAGTCAAAATAGCAAGATCCTCCAGAGAATTCTGGAACGAGCCTGTGTGTTCATTAATCAGTCATTCATGCATGGTACGTTTAAAGTATATTTTAATGTTTTGTTGCATCGCTAGCCAAGGTAGCCACTATTTGCTTTCAATCGAAACCCAGATAGTTAACGTTAGTAGGTAGCCAAATCTTGATTTACTTGCAGACGTGTGTGTTGATTAAAACATTTACAAAACAGCCGTGGCATTTAGGGTCCAGTTGATTACGTTATCTAGCTGTTGTAAGGTTTGCGATTCTTTTGATCAGTGTTCATTATTTGTTTCATGTGACTTTACCTTCTTTCTAACATTAGAGCCCGCACATTGTTACAATGTTACAAGGGGACGACGGTGCCCAGCTCGAGTGCAGTGTCGTGGTGGAGCGCCTGAACTCCTCTGGCCAGGCCACCAAACGCCAAGTCATCCGGAAGGCAGCTGTTCTTCTCGGTCGCAACGAGTTCCAGGAGATAATCCTGCGCGTGCACGACGGTAAAATACCCCAAAGTTACACGCTCAAAGAGTTCCAGCTCTTTACCCGGTTTGCCAAGGATGGCAAGTGCACCGTCAAACTGCTCCCCGAAAACATCCAGGTGCTCATCTCTGACTGCCCGCCCCACCTATTAAACATTTTCCTGAAGACCTTGAGTATCAAACACCAGGCCTGGCAGACTAGCAAGCCCATGACTGACCGAGAGAAGCTGAAAGCCTGTCTGCCCCGCAGCTTTGAGACCATCAGCCCATTACAGCGGAAGGATGTACAGAAGGCCAATGAGTTGAGGAGCAAAGTGAACACGCCATTGCTCTCTAAAGGCCTGGTAGTGAGGACTGGTAATAAGATGACTGGAGGACCACAGGGACAGCAGGTTAAGAGACCAAGGACGGACTGTGACTCAAGCCCAGTGAGTTGAGTTCATATCCTCTGTGACTTGATCATTTCTCCCCAAGCTGAAATTCAAACTGGTTTGCACTGAACAGCCCTGGTAGTGAAAATGCATTGCATGCCATTTAGCTTAGTCTATGTATTATCACTGACTCGGTTTCATTAGACATAAGATTGGTTTGATGTCCAACATTTTGTTAGCTGTTAGGCTAGTCCTTGATGACGAAGATGTTGTTGAATAAATGTTTTTATTTATGCTCCATTTTCAGGTGAAGGCACTCCACCCAAGCAAAAAGCCCATCCTGTCTCTACCAACGGCACGCAAGTTGAACAAAGAACAAGCCGCTGTCCTCAGCGCTGTGTTGAGTGGGAAGAATGTTTTCTTCACCGGCAGTGCAGGTATCTACCTTCAATTTGAAGCTGAAGTCATTACTTTAATGGTATGAGGTTGACTCATACGTTCAGGACCCTCACATAGTTTTTTTGTTTATTCAAGACTGTGTGTGTGGTCTGTATTTTTGTTCAGGCACAGGGAAGTCCTTCCTGTTGAAGAGGATTGTGGGCTCGCTGCCGCCCAAAAGCACCTACGCCACGGCCAGCACGGGCGTGGCAGCGTGTCACATTGGGGGAATCACGCTACACAATTTTGCTGGTCAGTCACCACACCACCGAATATGATAGAGAGAGTGTTGGTTTGTGTGAGAGCTGTCTAGGAATGGCAGTCTCGACTCTAAACAGTTGTTTCCCTCACGACGCCAGGACAGCAGAGTCACTCACCACCTTCCGGAGACATTTGAAACCCCACCTCTTTAAGGAATACCTGGGATAGGATAAAGTAATCCTTCTACCCCCCCCCCCCCCCCCCCCCAAATTGTAAAGTGGTTATCCCACTGGCTATAGGGTGAACGCACCAATTTGTGAGTCGCTCTGGATAAGAGCGTCTGCTAAATGACGTAAATGTGCCCTTGAGCAAGGCACTTAACCCTAATTGCTCCTGTAAGTCGCTCTGGATAAGAGCGTCTGCTAAATGACTAAAATGTAAATGTAATGTAAATGTTTCATTTTACACGTTGTGATAGTCCCCATACTTAGCTTCACAAAATGGTCGCCTGCCGGTTACCAGAACTGTACTATGGGCCTTTAGTGAAGGGTTGGCTAAACACCATCTCTCTCTTCTTTCACCCTCCCTATTTCCTTACTTGTCTCCTTCCCACCTTTTCCATATTCTCTTTTAAGCTGTTATTACCCCTTTTGTCTCTCTCTCTGTGTCTCTCAGGTATCGGGTCAGGCTCAGCCCCTCTGGAGCAGTGTATAGAGCTGGCCCAGAGGCCTGGGGTCCTGCAGCACTGGACCAGCTGTCGCCACCTCATCATCGACGAGATCTCCATGGTGGAGGCCCAGTTTTTCGACAAGCTGGAGGCCATAGCCAGGTACTAGAAGCACCACTCTCTCGCACCCTATAGAATTTAGTATTGGATTATATAATTACACGTTTATGGGCTGAATCCTAGCTTCAGAAATGCCACTCCCATTGATTCCCATACACAATTTAAGAATGATGTACACGTATCAACTGACGTGTTGCTATTCCAAGTTCATGTCGTATAATTCTCTTATGATTTCTTCTGTTGACATGTCGTTGCTCCAGGTCTCTGAGGAGGTCCACAGAGCCGTTTGGAGGCATCCACCTGATAGTGTGTGGCGACTTCCTCCAGCTGCCCCCGGTCTCCAAGGGAAAGGACAAGGCCACGTTCTGCTTCCAGGTCAGAAAGCCTGGTGATAATGGTGACATGTCATGATAATGCTCCACTGACTCTCACCTTGAGCATTTTTCATTACAGCATGTGTCAGTCTAGCCATGTTGACATCTGCTACTTGGTGGGTGTATTAGATTAAAGTCCTAACATCTTAACACAGAAGCTTGCTTACAATGTGTGAATAAGTCATGCATTACTAATATCAATGACAGATTTGGGGTAAACCTTTGAGTTACATCTAACTTGTACAGTATTTCGAGTCAGTGTCCGAGATGATATCTTATATTATGATAAATACAATGCTGACCTCTACTCTCCTTGACCTCTAGTCTAGAAGCTGGCGGAAGTGCATCCAGCTGAACATGGAGTTGACTGAGGTGCGCAGACAGACGGACCAGTCCTTCATCTCCCTCCTGCAGGCAGTGAGGGTGGGCAGGTACAGTACGCTGAGCAGTGGACAATAGGCAGCCATTTTGGATGGCTGTTCTGGGCCTATTCAATGGGTGTATCTCAATAGTTTGAAGCAGCTTCCTCTCCTTGTGTTTTCTTTCATGAAATGCAAGATTGGTAGAAGATATGCTTCACCTATCCAGTTCTTTCACAAAATGTGACTAGGAACGAGAGGAGAGAAAGCCACTTTATAGACTGAGAAGCATCCAGTGTGCCACCAACTAACTGATATCCATGGTCTCATGACAAAATGCTAGTTCTACAGTATACCATATAGAGTGAGCCATTTAGTAAAATAAAATGTTCTACGTGTTGGAATGGAATCCTAATCATGCAATATGCTACGTATTAATTAAGTCAATGTCCATCATCCAATCCCACAGAGTCACAGAGGAAGTCACTGCCAAGCTGATGGGGAGCGCCTATCACAAGATCGAGCGGGATGGTATCCTGGCAACCAGGCTTTGCACTCACAAGGATGACGTAGAGCTCACAAACGACAACAAGCTCCAGCAGCTGCCAGGTTTGGTGTTTTTCTTTATTTTTGATCATTATAAGGAATTTTATCCCCCACAGTTCTTCCATTGTTGTGAGACACACCGTTGCCTTGAGGCAAGTGACGATTGGCCAGTATTGTGTCACAGGCTTGAGTCACCTGACAGGGCCGGCCCTAGCCTCTAAGTGACTGAAACGACCGCTTAGGGCCCCGTGACCGCTAGGAGGCCTCCGACCAAAACATTTATAAATAACCCACAGATTTTGTTAGTCACTCTCACTCAGATATATTAACATGGCATAAGTCATGGTAAAACTTGTAGAATTGCAGGAAATATTTATTTATTAAATTAGGGCCCCCAAAAGGCTGCCTTGTGACCATATAGGACCTTGAGGGTCTCGCTTCCAAAGGTGTTTTTTGGGTGCTAACCCAATTAGCAGGCCATTTCAGGAAGTCCTGTTCCAACCTTCCTCACTTCCTTTTGATATTGCCTTTGTTAGGCCCCCATACACAAAGCTTGCAGGAAAAAAATGATTCACTAATGAATTGCAGCCTTGCGCAGACTAGGGGTGTGACGTTTTAACGAATTAGGAATCGTAAACTTTTTTTGTTGACAAATTTTAAATCACAGTGCAGTTATCACAATGTCCCGATCATCATAAAGGCAAAAATATTTTTGGTACAAATACGCAACAATGCTGTAAGGAGATGTGCATCTTTCTAATGATTTGCCAAGGATCTAAAGAGCTCCACAGGTCATTGTCATTAACTGTTGGAGAAATGTCAGAGTGAGACAGGGAAGTGACAGCCACAAAGTCCTGTATGGCAATACTTTAAGAAGTTAAATGAGAAGGTGATGAAATGTGAACTTTGCGAGGTGGAATTGAACTACAGTGGCAATACAGGTGCAATGCTGAAAGAGAGGCACGTGAGACCCAACCCGTTGCTGGCAGCAGTGCGATAAGGGACAGGGTGAGAATCTCAGTGCTGATTACAGAAATGATTGCAGTTGATATGCAGCCATTGTCAATGGTAGAGGATGTCTGCTTCAATACCCTAATGGCATATCTAAAACCGTGACAGCCCTGATGAAAAAATGGTACAATGATTGCTCTGCAAGTACAAAGTACGAGCACTCAAACACCATACATAGCTTTAACAGATTGTTGGACGTCTATGAACACGCTGTCATGCATCACTGCAACGAGCCATCACATTGATTAGAAGTGGGACATGAAGTCCCATGTACTGAGAACATGGAGGTGAGGCACACAACAGAACCTAAAATGACATTAATACCATTGTTGCTGAGTAGGTGGGGGACAGCAGGAAGGTGAGCGCCATCTAGCTGGTAGGTAGCCAGGACTACTGTATATTGAACTGCATTAACCCCCTAGAGGTCATATACAACCATGTCATTTTTTTTTTTTGAATTCGCGTCGTTTTCTGAAGAAGAAAAAAAATAGCAGTTTAAACGTTCAGTGACATTTTACATTTGTCACATCCCAAGCCCAGACACCCCATGATTTAAGTCGGCTAGAATCAATGCAAGGACATGGTCTTGTTTTTGATTTGTGAACACAGCCTTATGCTGCCCTTGTTGCTGGGCAACCTGTGGTGAGTGTTTGCCCCCAGCTACCATGGGTTCTCTCTCTGTGTGTCCTGCTGGTTTTAATGGTCATGGAGTCCTACTGAGATGAACATTGAAAGTAGGGTTGTCACTTACATCAGGTGTAAAAACAAATTCTGCCCCAATTGCTCAAAACAAAATCTCCATCCATGTGCTGCTTTTGTTAGGAGACCCAACTGAACATGTCCTCTGTCTTTTTTCTTTGAGTCACAAACAGACAATCTTGTTGCTTAGGTTACAGATCTGTGATCTCCTGGGTGTCATATTGTGAAGATGTAGTCATCCCAGATAAGGTTGTGAAGGTGTATCCCAAAAGTAAGCCCTCTTAGCAAGTCTCTCAATGAGCTGTTAAACAGGAAGAGGAGGGCATTCAAAGAGGGTACCCAATACTTAGTTAAATAGGCTGCAAAAAGTGGTGACGTGAAATCAGGAGAGCTAAACGGATGTGCAAGGACAAAATTGGAAAAATAATGTGGTACCAATTTTAGGCTTGGCCTGGGATGGTATGAAAACTGTTGTGGGGTTGCAGGACAAAAGTAAGAAAAGTTGCCATTAGATGGCTTTAATTCTGACTGGCACAGGTGTTGAGTTTTATCTCAGTTTTGATGTACACGATTTTAGTAATAAATTCTAAATTAAACACGACCCCCCCCTTTGATGAATGCAGTGTGGTTAGCACATTTTGACACTGCAAACCCAGAAAAAGCCCTGGATGTCACCTGACATGGACTAACAAAATCAATATATATTTTTTGGGGGGGTTGGGGGCTGTAAGCAGTCACTTAGAAGCTGTCAAGAGATGACTCAAGCCTGTGACATAGCACTGGCCAATCGTCACCTTTTCTTATCTCCTCTGCAGAGCAATTGGGCCGTATCTTTAATTGCATCTTAACAGTCTACTGTCATCCATGTTGCCAAGAACATCTACTCAAAGGTTTTTAATGACTACAGACCAGTCACCAGGGGGTAGACGCTAGCCAATTACAATAATTTTGGCACCATGATTGATAATAAATTGAGCTCAGTGTAACACTGACGTTGTGTAAGAAGGGCCAGCAACAGCTTTTTTTGTCACAGGAAACTGGGAAAGTTCCAGGTTGACAGGACCTTGACTCTCTTATAAATCGTACAATCGTCAAACATTTTCTTTTGATCTGTTGGTATGGCAACCTTAGTATCAAAGCTAAAAATCCACTAGCTAGAATATTGAAAGTGGGCAGAAATCTCACAGGAGTCTGACCTGTCCAACAGACAAGTGGTGAGGAAGGCAGAATCCATCCTTTCTGTCTGTGCCCACCCTCTACACCCTTCAAACTCAACTCTGGACCTTGAAGCCAGTTCCACTGCATTTTTTTTATTGTTCCCCTCTAATCAGGGACTGATTTAGACTTGGGACACCAGGTGTGTGCAATTAATGATCAGGTAAAACAGAACCAGCAGGCTCCGGACCTTGTAGGGTTAGAGGAGTACCCCTGCTCTACACCATGAGTTCCATCCTGTCTGACTGTGTCCTCCCTCTACACCATGAGTTCCATCCTGTCTGACTGTGTCCTCCCTCTACACCATGAGTTCCATCCTGTCTGACTGTGTCCTCCCTCTACACCATGAGTTCCATCCTGTCTGACTGTGTCCTCCCTCTACACCATGAGTTCCATCCTGTCTGACTGTGTCCTCCCTCTACACCATGAGTTCCATCCTGTCTGACTGTGTCCTCCCTCTACACCATGAGTTCCATCCTGTCTGACTGTGTCCTCCCTCTACACCATGAGTTCCATCCTGTCTGACTGTGTCCTCCCTCTACACCATGAGTTCCATCCTGTCTGACTGTGTCCTCCCTCTACACCATGAGTTCCATCCTGTCTGACTGTGTCCTCCCTCTACACCATGAGTTCCATCCTGTCTGACTGTGTCCTCCCTCTACACCATGAGTTCCATCCTGTCTGACTGTGTCCTCCCTCTACACCATGAGTTCCATCCTGTCTGACTGTGTCCTCCCTCTACACCATGAGTTCCATCCTGTCTGACTGTGTCCTCCCTCTACACCATGAGTTCCATCCTGTCTGACTGTGTCCTCCCTCTACACCATGAGTTCCATCCTGTCTGACTGTGTCCTCCCTCTACACCATGAGTTCCATCCTGTCTGACTGTGTCCTCCCTCTACACCATGAGTTCCATCCTGTCTGACTGTCCTCCCTTTACACCATGAGTTCCATCCTGTCTGACTGTCCTCCCTCTACACCATGAGTTCCATCCTGTCTGACTGTCCTCCCTCTACACCATGAGTTCCATCCTGTCTGACTGTCCTCCCTCTACACCATGAGTTCCATCCTGTCTGACTGTGTCCTCCCTCTACACCATGAGTTCCATCCTGTCTGACTGTGTCCTCCCTCTACACCAGGGTGTCTAACTCATTATATGCTGGTTTTTGGTTTTTTATTTCAATTAAGACTTGGACAACCAGGTGAGGGGAGTTCCTTACTAATTAGTGACCTTAATTCATCAATCAAGTACAAGGGTGGAGCGAAAACCCGCAGACACTCGGCCCTCCTCTGACACTGGCCATCCCCTACACCATGAGTTCCAGGTCCTACCCTCTGGCTCCTGGGTTTAGAGTCCCAACTGTCAAGACTAACCGGTACAAGCACTCCTTTACCCTTAGTGTCATTGCCCTTTTCAATACAGGGAAGAGGAGGAGGTAGGCTACTCTGTCCTACTGGTATCATTGTCCTTGGTTGTCATAACATGGGGATGATGGTAATGTGGTGATGATGTTGCTAATGATGCTTTTGGTCAGCATATTCTTGATGTTGACGTGATAATTTGAGAATGTTGTTGGGTTTACTACTACTTTAGTGTTGTGCAGCTGCTAATGTTGATCATTAGTATTGTATACTGTATATCTACATTGATGCTGTCCGCCCATGGCTGATGTAGCAGCCCATTGATGTAGCAGCCCATTGATGTAGCAGCCCATTGTATTGTGATCCGTGTGGATTTAGTTTGTCTCCAAATGCTACCCCTGCTGCAAAGCCGAATGCCCTCTGGGACAAATTTAAGTGGAAACTTGATGATGTTGGAACATAAACTGTGTGCAACATTTTAAAGGGGTCCTCTTGCTTTTGTTTCCAGGGTCAGTGCGGGTATTTGAGGCTGTGGACAGCGACCCTGCGCTGGTGAAGATCATAGACACCCAGAGTCCCGTCAGCAGGCTGCTGCAGCTTAAAGTGGGCGCTCAGGTCAGTGCATGGAGACTACTCCTACAGTGGTCACAACTGAATAGGAGTGAATGCATCTCTAACCTGTTGAGCTAGCTTGACTCAATGATGATCAGAGGCATGGCGTTTTAAAGTAATCTTTATTTTCCATTGTGATATGACCGCTCACTGACTAAGCTGATTTAATTCCTATCCCCAGGTCATGCTAACAAAGAACCTGGACGTCCAACGTGGCCTGGTCAACGGGGCTCGAGGTGTCGTAGTAGATTTTCAGCCGGGGAAACTAGGTAAATTCAATATACAGTACACATCTACATACAATAAACAATAGGATTCAGAGGTTAAAAAAAGTATATGGTTCGGGTCTCGGGTGTGTAGAAAAGTAGGTAACACTTTATTTGCTCTACAGACTGAGTAACATTTAAACTATCTACTAACCCTTGCCTTAACCTTTACCCTAACCCTTATTCTAAACCTAACCGTAACCTTAGCAAGCAGTTGTTTATCAACAGTTTGTTGATAGTATAACCATCTGCAGATAGAAAATCGGGACTATCCAAATAAAGTGACCCAAAAGTATGCTTTAATGACTAATAACCCTCAAATGTAATTGCAGCTATCTGTTTTAACTATGCATTTATGATGATTGATTCATTCACAAACCAGTGTTCCCTAACTCTGTATAGCACCAGTCCCATCAGTCCTTTCTGACTCCTCAGGGCTCCCACGCGTACGTTTCCTGTGCGGCACCACCGAGGTGCTGAAGCCAGAGCGGTGGATGTTCAAGGCCGGAGGCGGGCTCTACCTGAGCCGCCAGCAGCTGCCACTCAAACTGGCCTGGGCCATCTCCATCCACAAGAGCCAGGTGAGGCGTGGCAATGACCATAGAAGGTCACATGGAGTGCTTGGCTAAACTCTAGAACGGAGTAAGGATTCCACATATGAGCAGTATTCAAATACAAAGAAAATGCATCCTTCCCGATCTTCTTGGAGGTGACCTGATACAATTGATTTGGTTAAAGCTATGCAGTGCAACTTCTGCTTTCTCCTGTCCAATAGTGTTGGATCATTGATAACGCCCTCTCTCTCTCTGACGTCAAATGTAATGGACCTACAGCCTATGTTTGATCACATTCCCAAAACGCAATCCTCTCCCTTTGGACGCGATGACGCGCCCCTACCAAACTGCTACTGCACAGATAAATGCGATATCTCATGAACTCCATCTAGACCATGCTAATCACATGATGCTTTTATCTATCCATTAAAGTTCCACAAGGTTAGAGACATTAAGGGGAGAGGAAAGGTGGCATGCGCCTGGATGAAATGGAATCCAGCCAGCCTCCGATGATGGATGACCATTTAGCAATTCTCACTCCCCATATGTCACCCCATGTCTTGACACTAAACCACCAGACAGTGTTGGTCACAAATCAGCTGAGTTTGACCCTGGGTGTTATTACTCAGTGCACCACCATCTCTGCAGATCCATCTCCTGCCCGAGAACTGGATCTCATTACTCTGAAATGTGTCTGTGTGATTGGCTAGGCAGATGAGCCGAGCACTCTGGTTAATTGAGTTCATTGGTCACTGTCGGTGTCATCAATGTTTGGTTTCCCTCCCCTTGACTGAGGCAGCGGTAGAAACCGATGGAGGGAACAGAGTGATGTCACAGGATCATAACCTTGTGATAATTGCAGCTTTTATATTAGCATTGAAGATGTGCAGCTCTAAGCAATATGTCTCGATTCTGTGTTCATATGATTCATCCTCTATGAATCATTGTTTTTCTGCAGCTATCCAAACAAAGCTAGTTTTCACTACACTTCAGGCTGACTGATTCACATCACGTGTATGGAATAGGTCTTCCTGTCTGTATGATCGTCTATTTCCATGCGACTGTATTTGGGGCATGTTTCTTACCCACTGTGTGTGTCAGGGCATGACGCTGGACTGTGTGGAAATCTCCCTGGCGCGGGTGTTCGAAAGCGGGCAGGCCTATGTGGCTCTGTCTCGGGCCAAGAGCCTGGAGGGGCTAAGGGTCATGGACTTTGACCCCCGCGTGGTCCGTGCCAACCCTGACGTGTTGCACTTCTACAGCAAGCTGAGGAAAGAGAGGCTACTGTTGCAGGTGAGTTTCTGGCTGTGTATTGACAGTAGACCCAGTCTGGGTCCTCATAGGGGTTATCTAACAAGGACCCAGAATAGGTCAAAGGGTTTATAGACCTACAGTGACTTATTCCACATTTTGTTACAGCTTGAACTCAAAATGGATTAAATGATTTTCTCACCCATCTAAACACAATACCCCATAATGACAGTGAAAACATGTTTTTAGCCATTTTAGGGGGAAAAAACACAAAACAATGAAATACAGAAATCTCATTTACATAAGTATTCACACCCCTGTGTCAATACTTTGTAGAAGCACCTTTGTGAGCGATTACAGCTGTGAGGCTTTCTGGGTAAGTCGTAAGAGCTTTCCACATCTGGAATGTGCAACATTTGCCCATTATTCTTGTCAAAATTATTCAAGCTCTGTCAAATTGATTGTTGATCATTGCTAGACATCCATTTTCAGGTCTTGCCATAGATTTTCAAGTAGATTTCAGTCAAAACTGTAACTTGAACATTCACTGTCTTGGTATGCAACTCCAGTGTAGATTTGGCCTAGCATTTTAGGTTATTGTCCTGCTGAATGGTGAATTAATCTCCCAGTGTCTGGTGGAAAGCAGACTAAACCATGTTTTCCTTTAGGATTTTGCCTGTGCTTGGCTCCATTCTGTTTATTTTTTTATCCTGAAATTCCCCAGTCCTTAGCGATTACAAGCATACCCATAACATTATACATCCACCACTATGCTTGAAAATATGGAGTGGTACTCAGTAATGTGTTGTATTGGATTTGCTCAAACACTGTATTCAGGACAAAAAGTGAATTGCTTTGCCACATACTTTGCAAACCGGATGCATGTTTTGGAATATTTTTATTCTGTACAAGCTTACTACTTTTCCCTCTGTCAATTAGATTTGTATTGTGGAGTTACTACAATGTTGATCATCATCTGTTTTCTCCTATCACAGCCATTAAATTCTGTAACTGTTTTAAAGTCACCATTGACCTCATGGTGTATTCCTTGAGCAGTTTCCTTCCTCTCCGGAAACTGAGTTAGTAAGGAAGACTATCTTTGTAGTGACTGGGTGTATTGATACACCATCCAAAGTGTAATAATAACTTCACCATGCTCAAAGGATATACTTTTTTAAATTTTTTTTACAATACAAATCATACACATACAAACGACAACATCAAATACATCACACCTGCCCAGAGCCACATGCTCACACCCCCATCTCCAGGGCCCGCATCACTCTCCACCACATGGCCTCAAACAGCACAATGTTTTTTCTCTCTGTTGCCCACACACTTTCAACTTTTAGATATTAATCTTAGGGATATTCAATGTCATGTTTATTTTTTTTACTTCTACCAATGGGTTCCCTTTGCGTGGCATCGGAAACCCTCCCTGGTCTTTGTGGTTGAATATGTTTGAAATTCACTGCTCGACTGATGGACCTTACAGATATTTGTATGTGTGGGGTACAGGGATGAGGTAGTCTTTCAAAAATCATGTTAAACAATTATTGCACACAGTGAATCCATGCAATTTACGTGACTTGTTAAGCACATTTTTACTCCTTAACTTATTTAGGCTTACCATAAAGGGGTTGAATACTTATTGACTCAAGACATTTCTGCTTTCAATTATTATTTAATTAGTAAAAATGTCAAAACATAATTCCACTTTGACATTATGGTGTGTGTAGGCCAGTGACACACAAAAATCTCTATTTAATCAATTTTAAATTCAGGCTGTGACAACAATGTGGAAAATGTCAAGGGGTGTGAACACTTTCTGAAGGCACTGTACATGGTCAAAAAATACTAGTTATTTGGAGCAATGGGAACTGTCTTTTCTCTTGAAGTGTATTTTTGGGGGACTGGTGACCTCAGTAGTTTAGAGTTGCGCTTTAATGTTGTCCTACTGTGTACTGCCACCCAGTGTCAAGAGGTGTAAAGTTTTCCAGAGATTTGACCTCTGACGGTGGGTTAGGTCAGGCAATGATCTGTGTTGGGTGCGGCCTTCCAGTTGTGTGGGTGTGTATGTCCAAAGCAAAGGGCTCGTATAACACTCTCTGTATCTTTGCAGGCCTCGATGGATGAGTTTGTGGGCAAAAGTAACAAGGAGAACCGTTGGTGAGAAAGAACCCCTCAACAACCCAAACTATTTTAATTTAACATTTGATTTGTTTTATTTTTGGTTTTATTTCCATCTTTCAAGTGATCGTCTCAGGCTGTCTACTTTTTTTTTTAAAGGTATACACATCATGGACATGCACACTGTCAACAACTTTGTTGATCTAGTTTTATTTTTATATACCTGTTATTTATTGTCATGATCTTGACCGAGTGTGAACGTTGTATGATTTTTAAGCAAATAAAGTTTTAGTTGAACTATACTGAACAAAAATATAAGTGTTGGTTTCATGAGCTGAAATAAAAGATCCCAGAAATGTTCCATATACACAAAAAGCTTATGTCGCTCAGATATTGTGCACAAATTTGTTTACATCCCTGTTAGTAAGCATTTCTCCTTTGCCAAGATAATCCATCCACCTGACAGGTGTGGCATATCAAGAAACTGATTAAACAGCGTGATCATTACACAGGTGCACCATGTGCTGGGGACAAAAAAAGGCCCATCTACAATGTGCCTTTTGTCACACAACACAATGCCACAGATGTCTCAAGTTTTGAGGGAGCATGCAATTGGCATGCTGACAGCAGGAATGTCCACCAGAGATGTTGCCAGATAATGTAATGTTAATTTCTCTACTATAAGCTGCCTCTGTCATTTTAGATAATATGGCAGTACGACCAACCGGCCTCACAACCGCAGACCTTGTGTAACCATGCCAGCCCAGGACCTCCACATCCGGCGTCTTCACCTGTGGGATCATCTGAGACCAGCCACTGGACAGCTGATGAAACAGGACTATTTCTGTCTGTAATAAAGTCCTTTTTTGGGGAAAAACTCATTCTAATTGGCTGGGCCTGGCTCCCCAGTGGGTGGGCCTATGCCCACCCATGGCTGCGCCCCTGCCCAGTCATGTGAAATCCATAGATTAGGGCCTAATTTATTTAAATTGACTGATTTCCTTTATATTAACTCAGTAAAATTGTTGCATGTTGCGTTTATATTTCTGTTCAGTATACTTTGTACAGTATCTATGACCATGGTTTAATTTCAAGGTTTTGCCTATTATTTGGCCTATATTGTAAGGTCATAAACCAAAAGGACATTGGACTGAGGTATTAAGAGCATATTCTTAAGTACATCACATTCTTGGGCTTACGTAATCATAGTACCAAGAAACATCTTGTTTGATTTCCAAGACGACTTGGGGCTCGATTGCTTCAATGTGGTTTAGTGTAATAACTAAGGCTATATATTCATACAAGGGTCCCCTGGAGTCAAACCAAGCACTGACTGAATCATTAGCCAAGTTTCCAGTATCATGCAACCTCTGCAAGCCAGCGCTTACTAGAACCAGAGGTGTTTGAAACCAACAGACTCAAATGTGAAAACTTCCAGCAAATACTTTATGGAGGATGCCAGTCTTCGCCACAGGAAGTAATCGCTTGTAGAGTTTTCCAACTAGTTCTGACAAGTCGTCACTCTGGCCCAGAGATGGCGACATAGTGGAAGCCATACTAATCTCTGGTTCAACACAATGTATAAACGTATGGTTTGAACTGTAATGCAAAGGCTTGAATAAGTAGAGGGGACACAGGGGCTGCAGTGCTTTGAATTTTAATGCAGTCTAACTCCTGAGTGGTTAGTCACCTGGCCAGTCTTCATTCACTGGCCACAAAGATCTGAGAAGTTTGCACCCGTCACCAGTATAAGCAGCAGGTTGGCCATATACAGTCTAAAATGTACATATTCTATGCGCAATGGTTCAGGTAGCTGGTGTATTCAGAACTATATTTTGTCCAGAAAAAAAAAACAATATTAACAAGATATGTAATTTATTAACATTCATAGATACAACACAGGCTGTGGTCTCAAGCCTTCCCTGACACTGCACATCTGTAGTATTTAAATATATTCCACAGCTGCAATAAACTACTGGAATTGACAAGATAATTGAGAAGAGGTTCATTTGACACTGTGGAAGAGTTTGTGCGCTACCTGTGAGAAAAAATAAGAAAATTAGTTAAATATGCATTGTAACTTACATATTACTACCCAAAAAAATACAGCGATCACATGTAAGCTTTACGTTTTTCTGCATGCAGTAGTGTGGCCGCACAGGGTGCCTCACAAACACACTCACACAGTGGTCCCGTGCATGTAGGAAGTCGAAGAGCTCCTCTGTGCATTCCTCCTCAGTGTGTGATCTTGAGCCCACTCTGGCCGTGCAGGCCTCCAGCCTCTCCCTTGTGTGGGCGCAGTGCTCTGATGCCTCACACTTTGCCCGTATTGTTTCTAAGGGATCCTGGGATGGACAAACACAGCTGCAGATGATGGTAATCGAAAAACAGTACCTCTCAATGTATAGGAAAACAGTCAGGGAATCTTAATTTGTTTGTTTATATTCAAATATTATTCATCAAAGGAAAGTATGGTAAATGTATATTCAACCGTCTTACCACCATGTCTTCTTCCTCCTCCTCCTCCTCCTCCTCCTCTGCCGGTGCCTCTTCCTCCTGGTCGGTGACAACGTTAGTGGGGTGCAACATTGTAGAATTCTTCATTCTACAAGAGTCAATTTTCCATCTGACTGCACTAACTTTCTGAATGAGATCTATAGGAAGTCAATTTGAGTTGATCTATTGTAAAAGCAAACATGTATTAGGTTATGGGTTCAATAGCTACCGTTTTTTTTTTTAAATATAATGTTAACTCATCAACTTGATTTACTCAAATAATGTAAAAGCTAGTTTTCATACCATGTTTCATACCTAGGTGCATCATGATAATTTAACTAAAACTAGTTTTTGTTTCTAGATATAAACACCAATCTCAATCTGTCATGTTAATTCAACGAGGGATGTCCTGAGTTAGTTGCCAAGGACCCACGCTTAGCTAGCAATGCATTTAGCAAGTTACTGTAGGCAGCTAACGTTAGCTAGCTAGCTAATGGCTTTCAGGTTGCATAACTTGATACATTGGTAGGATTAGCAGAGAAAACGACATTGCAATAGGAAGGTTTTGATATTGTACATTACCTCATCATCAGGCTCCCCATACATTATCATTTTTTTTTCGAAAACCATGATTTTAGTCCTAAAATTCGCAAGGACAACACCGGCAGAAGACACACGACCTAGCTCACCAGCCTTGATCTGGAGGACGTGTTAGGTCACACGCAGGAAATAGCTAGCTAGAAAGTTCGCCGGAAGAATGTTTCTATTCGTTCACTAGATGGCAGCCCTCCAACCATCTCCATAGGATTGGTATGGGATCCTCCCATCTGATGCGCTGGGGGAATCAATGTTCTGATCTATTCTGCCCGATGGGAAGACGGATTGGATACAGTGTCGCACACCAACATGGCGGCGCTCATGGACACAAGAATATTGCTTAGAAAAATGTTAGATTTGCAGTGCCTGACACCCCGACGGAATCGCGTGAAAGCCAAATGGGTATGTATAACATGTAGACTGGCTAAAGCAAAGAAAGATCCACAAAAAAAGATGCCACCCGTTCACTTTGTGTGAACCGTGGTCCTCTGTAGCTCAGTTGGTAGAGCATGGCGCTTGTAACGCCAAGGTAGTGGGTTCGATCCCCGGGACCACCCATACACAAAAAATGTATGCACGCATGACTGTAAGTCGCTTTGGATAAAAGCGTCTGCTAAATGGCATATTATTATTTATATTATATTATTTTTATTTAACCCTTATTTAACTAGGCAAGTCAGTTAAGAACAAATTATTATTTACAATGACGGCCTACCCCGGCCAAACCTGGATGACGCTGGGGCAATTGTGCCCAGCCTCGATTGTGATACAGCCTGGAGCACTGAGCAACTGGGTCCCTGTGCAACTGGGCCCTGGACTTCCTGACGGGCCGACCCCAAGTGTTGAAGGTAGGCAACAACACCTCCACCACACTGATCCTCAACACGGGCTCCCCACAGGGGTGCGTGCTCAGCCCCCTCCTGTACTCCCTGTTCACCCACGACTGCGTTGCCACGCATATGTCCAACTCAATCATCAAGTTTGCTGACTACACAAAAGTGGTAGGCCTGATTACTAACAATGACGTGAAGCGACAGTCTACAGGGAGGAGGTGAGAACCCTGGCAGAGTGGTGCCAGGAAAACAACCTCAACGTCAACAAAATGAAGGAGCTGATCATGGACTACAGAAGACAGCAGAGAGAGCACGCCTCCATCCACATCAACGGGGCTGCAATGGAGATGGTCAAAAGCTTCAAGTTACTCGGCGTGCACATCACTGACGACCTGAAATGGTCCCTTCAAACACAGTGTGGTGAAGGCGCAACAGTGCCTCTTCAACCTCAGGCTGAAGAAATTCGGCTTGGCCCCTAAGACCCTCACAAACTTCTACAGATGCACCATTGAGAGCATCTTGTTGGGCTGTATCACCGCCTGATACGGCAACTGTACCGCCTGCAACCGCAGGGCTCTCCAGAGGGTGGTGCAGTCAGCCCAACGCATCATTGGGGGCACACTGCCTGCCCTCCAGGACATCTGCAGCACCCGGTGTCACAGGAAAGACAAGAAGATCATCAAGGAACTCAGCCACCCGAGCCACGGCCTGTTCACCCCTCTACCGTCTAGAACTGGGATGGGCAACTGGTGGCCCGATTACAGGCCCATGGACCAGTTTTCTTTGGGGGGGGTTGGCAGTCTCAACTTACTGTTGAGAGTTAGAATAATATAATTTAAAAAATTGGGCTAATTGACTGCTGATGCGCAATCACATTTTCTAAATTGCACCTTGTGTAGATTGGTAAGTTAGTCTAGTGGCCAGCTTTCTAAGGTAGTAGTAAGCATGGTCGAATTACCGAAGTGGCTTGTGGGTATGCAGAACGATGAGCCACTGCGGCCCCTCATGATGAGTTCTGTTTTTTTGTGGCCCCCACCCCCATCAAAGTTGCCATTCCCTGATCTAGAAGGAGGAGACAGGAGAGGTGCATCAAAGCTGGGACAGAGAGACT